CAGCCTGGGCAACATACTGAAACCTCATGTCTTAAAAAAATTATTATTATTAATAAGAGTGAAATTTTGTCATTTGCGGTAAATGGATGTAAGTGGAAAACATCATGTTAAGTGAAGTAAGCCAAGTTCAGAAAGACAAAGGTCACATTTTCTCTCATATGTGAAGATCTATCTATCTATCGAGTGAATCTACCTATCTATCTGTCTATCTATCTATCTATAGAGAGAATCTATCTGTCTGTCTGTCTATCTATCTATCTATCAAGAGAATATGTTTCCAAAAGTGAGACTGTTAGAGGAGACCCAGGGAGAAGGAAAAGAGGAAAAGAATGATAGTGAATAATATTGAAATGTATCATATCTGTGTAGGAAGAAGACACAATAAAATGCAATGAAAACTACTGAACAATACAGGGTGGAGGGAAAGGATAAGGAAGAGAAATAGAAGGGGTTTGACTTATTAAATCAGCAAAATCCCTCTGAACATGAACAGACACTTAAACAAGGAATGTAAAACAGGGAGGGCAATAGCAGGAGGGGAAGGTAAATAAACAGGGTAAAGGAGGGTGCACATGTATGAATATGGAACATTGAAACCCACTGAAGTCATTTTAAGAAGAGGGTGGGAGACAGGGAGAATAACAGAGGATGAACCAAATTGGGATATAATATATGTATACATAGAACTGTTACAATGAACCCCCTGTACAACCACCATATACTAATAAAACCTTTTTAAAAAAATTATTGATATCTATTACTTATTGAGCATTTACTACACGATTATTTGAAGTCTATTAACTAATAGAACATGCAACACTTAGGTAGGTGATGATCCCATCTTACAGATGAAAATTTGAATCACTAGCACTTAATGAATTTTTTTTAATGGTAGTACTGGGGCTTGAACTCAGAGCCTTGCAAGGGAGGAGCTCTACCACTTGAGCTCTGTCCCCAGCCCTTTCTGCTTTAGTTATTTTTTTAATATGGTCTTGCATTTATGCCCTGGCCAGCCTGGACCACGATCCTCCTATTTATGTTTCCTGCCTAGCTGCAATGACAGATGCACACCACCACATTCACCTTTTTATTAGTTGCGATAGATCTAGCCAATGTTTGTCAGGGCTGGTCTCAAACCAAGAACCTCCCTATCACTGCCTCCACAATAGCTAGGATTATAGACATGAGTCACTGTGCCAGTCTTGTTCAAGTTGTTTTTTAATTTTTATTAGTATATATTCATTGTACAAGGGGAGATTCATTGTGCCAATTCCAAATAGCCTTACATATGTACGTTCGTTGGATTACCCCCCCCTTGTTTAAGTTTTGACAGAAGTGGCAGAGCCAAGATTGAAATGCAGGTAGAGTTTGTGCCATACTGCCTTTTGGAATGATCATGAAGGAACAGCAAGGCTCCCAAGGAAATAGAAGCAAAAGTCAGCAACATGTTAGAAGATGAAAAGCAGACAAATGAGTAGTAACTGACTTAGATGGAGAATTCTGAGGAACACAGATGTCAAGTCACTATAGAACACCTTCAAAATTCAACCATTTTTTGGAGGCACCAGTTTTTTTTTTTTTTTTATTGTTTTATTATTCATATGTGCATACAACGCTTGGGTCATTTCTCCCCCCTGCCCCCACCCCCTCCCTTACCACCCACTCCACCCCTCCCTCTCCCCCCACCCCCTCGATACCTGGCAGAAACTATTTTGCCCTTATCTCTAATTTTGTTGAAAAGAGAGTATAAGCAATAATAGGAAGGAACAAGGGTTTTTGCTAGTTGAGATAAGGATAGCTATACAGGGAGTTGACTCACATTAATTTCCTGTGCATGTGTGTTACCTTCTAGGTTAATTCTTTTTGATCTAACCTTTTCTCTAGTTCCTGGTCCCCTTCTCCTATTGGCCTCAGTTGCTTTTAAGGTATCTGCTTTAGTTTCTCTGCGTTAAAGGCAACAAATGTTAGCTAATTTTTTAGGTGTCTTACCTATCCTCACCACTTCCTGGTGTGCCCCTTTTATCATGTGCTCAAAGTCCAATCCCCTTGTTGTGTTTGCCCTTCATCTAATGTCTGCATATTAGGGAGAACATACGATTTTTGGTCTTTTGGCCAGGCTAACCTCACTCAGAATGATGTTCTCCAATTCCATCCATTTACCAGCGAATGATAACATTTCGTTCTTCTTCATGGCTGCATAAAATTCCATTGTGTATAAATACCACATTTTCTTAATCCATTCTTCAGTGGTGGGGCATCTTGGCTGTTTCCATAACTTGGCTATTGTGAATAGTGCTGCAATAAACATGGGTATGCAGGTGCCTCTGGAGTAACCTGTGTCACAGTCTTTTGGGTATATCCCCAAGAGTGGTATTGCTGGATCAAATGGTAGATCAATGTTTAGCTTTTTTTCCAGAGTGGATGTACTAGTTTACATTCCCACCAGCAGTGTAAGAGGGTTCCTTTTTCCCCCGCATCCTCGCCAACACCTGTTGTTGGAGGCACCAGTTTTTCTGAAGGTGTGTCAAGAGGAGGGGCTGAAAACAGGCAGTACTGGTCTTTTCCATCAGGCAAGCCACTGCTCTGTCACTTCCCTAGCAGGAGATTGGAGGTCTAGTCTCTGAACAGGATGAACTAGTGACTCCAGACTTGGGGAACTTGGGCATCACTAGAGACAAGGAAGTGGCACCATTCACAGGGATTAAGTGGAGGTCTGTGTACAGAAGGGAGAGTCCCCAGTCAGTCCCTTTTCACCATAAGGCTCCCAGAATGATAATAGCTAGACTTAGTCCACCTAGGAAGAATCCTAAAGAAAGATTTATGGACTATGAACATATCCCAGTGAAAAGGACAGTCCATTAATCTATAGCCATGGCTCTCAAATGGGATCCCAGACAAGGAGTAGCACCACTGGGGAACTTGACAGAAATGCACATTTGGGTCCTGAGTCAGAAATTCTGGGGTAAGCTCTAACAATCAACAAAGCTACCAGGTGACTGTCATGCCCACTGAAGTTTTAAGAACCACTGCCCTTCACGGAGGTTCACTAGTCAATAAATCATCACAAACTCCATTAAGCTTTGAACCAGATTTTCAGTACCTGTTTATTGACAAAATAGTCTACAATCACCAGAAATTTGAGGAAAGACTAAATCATGAAAGAGAGAGAGAGACCAAAACATATTTCACAGAGCAGCTCTTATGAAGGCTAGTGAAAAGCAGCAAACCTGGTTTGCTTGGCTTTTCTTTGGCCCTCACCACTGCTGAGCTACTCTGCAAGCTTTACAGAACAATTTGAGAACCAAAGAAGTAAATGCTGTCTATAGTCCTGTCTACCTCTAGCCTATGCCTTTGTACTGGTCCTTATGTCCCTGACCCTTAAAACTAACAAAGTCATTTGGACTAACACTCTGAGTTGGAACTACAGCTGAATAATTTAAAACAAAATTTTAATGGAAAAAATCATACAAGCATTTTCTGCTATAGGTTTGCTATATGTGGGGTTTTGTTTTTTTTTTTTTTGTATCAAATACTTTTATGTAAAAGTATGACCACTCCACCCTGCTTTTTTGCTTTTATGTCTCACAAGCTTTCCTTGGCTCACCCTAACAGCCTAAACCTTAACCAGAACTTCTCCCTTTTCACCTGTCTTGACTTGTACCAAATGTTATTGCCACAACTAGATCACTCTTGTTTTACAAATCTCTAGTGGCCTGTCTGAGGCATCTTTGACATGTAATCACTGTAGACAAAAACCTCTCCATTATTTTTACTACCTTTGCCTCCTTTAGTCCAGCTTTTTTTAGGTATGGGGTTTGAATCAGGGTCTTGCACTTGCTAAGCAGGTGCTCAACCACTTGAGCCATACCTCCACCCCACTTACTTGTCTTAATTCTCTTGGTTCCCCTCCCCTACTTGAGAATATCCTCTCCTGGAATACCATCTCCTTTAGAAGGGGTGTGGAGTGACGAAAAAGTTATGCCAGGAATAATGCAAAGAATACCGCGCATTTTCTGATCCTCACACTAATAGTGGGAATTAGAACCCATCCCTATTTTACATTTGGAAAAGTGAGGCTTAGAGAGATTAAGTCACATGCCCAAGGTTACAACTAGGATTTTAATCCAAATCCTTCTGTCTCCAAAGCCAAATTTAACCACCCTACTGTACCCAATCTGGCAGTCTGACTCAAATCTAGGGAAGAAGCAAAGTTTCCTTAACCATGGTAGAAAATAAAAGCAAAGCGATCCTTGCATAGTCTTTAGTTGTTTTTACTTCCAGCCGAAGCCCAACAGGGAACACCACTGGCAGCCCCATCTTCCCACCTGGAGGGCTCCACATGGCTCAGCAGCTTGGTCAGGGAGCAGCACAGGAAAAGACAGGAGGGCGATTGGCCCTTGAGACCAGAATGCTGGCAGGGCACCGGTGGTTAAGACATACATCTCTGTCCCCGCACTGCCCATCAGCCCAGCCTCCTGGACATTTTGGTGGTGGCAGCGTGGGGAGCCTTCCAGTGTGGGACTTCCAGTATGATTCTAGGAGCGCTTAAGAGACAAGGTAGCAATCGAAAATCAAGGGCAGGCAATGACTCCCGGGGACAAGGCTGTGCCTCTCGAGAGGCACAGAGAAGCGTCTTATGTGATAAGACAAGATGCTTCAGTGGTGCCATCGGAATGTGGAGCCAGCCGCCGCCCCTTCCTTCATAGAAAGGTTGTACGTACATTTTTGTTTTCTTGTGACATAAAAAGAAGGCGGACATCCCTATGTCTCCACTCTGAGGGCCTCGGAAGCGCACCTCTCAACCTCTCCTTCCAATGGCTGAAAGGCTGACCTCTCCAATTTGGCCTCGGCTCTCCCTCTCCCGTTCCGCACCTCTCCTCACCGGTCGGTTCCCCGCAACCACCTCAGTCTGTTTGACCTCTCTTTCCCTGTCCTCCACCCTTCTTTTCTTCCCGCGCCGGTCCTATCCCCTAAGCCAGCTGCACTCAGCTCCGCGGTACCTTGAGCGTTACGTCGCACAGCTTGCCTTGCCGCCGGATCTCCTCATGACGCCGTAGCCGCGACTAGGCAACTCCGACACAGAAGAATGCACCAGATCCTCCAGCTCCTCCGCCGCGTCCTCCACCATCTTCCCCGGCCGCCGCAACTGCGCAGGCCTGGCCAGCCGGCTGGCTCCACACTAACCCGGGCGGGCGAGGGGAGCACGCCGACTGCAACTCGGAGCGCGAAGTCGGAAAGGACGGGCCTCCGCGGCCGCCGTAGTCGCAAACTCCTCTGCGCCGGAAGTCTCTCCCGACCTCGCTTCCTGGTTCACACACAACCGTTGTTTCCCCGGCAGCGTCGATCTCGGCTTCGCTCATACAGCTGCTGTAGTCTTTCTCGATTAATCGGTTCCATATCCCGACTTTCCGATTCTGCCCTAATCTTACACATATCCTCCAGGAAGTATTGCGGAGTTCATTTCCGCCAACAACTCACGGTAACTTCCGGAGTCCCCGGAAACGGTCTGTTGCCATGGCGACTGTGCACAGCCGATGAGGAGTCGCGTGCAGAGCTTCGGTCTCTGCAGTTTTACCGGTCGCGCTCGGGTAGCGCTGCTGCCTCTCGAGGTGAGCCGTGGGGTTAGGGAAGAGTAGAGACACCATGGAGGTGTGCTCCCTTACACAGTAGCTGGGATCCGAACACCGCTGTATCGTAGAGTCCCTTGCTTGGCTCCATTTGTGAAACCCAGATAGAGGAAGGCGCGGTGGTCACGGGGATTCTTTTAGTCTGATCTCGACTTGGAAGTCTAAGGAACTAATGTTCCCTGGTCCCACAAGTGTCGCACGAGGGTCCTACATGTCGCTCTAGACATAGAGGGCGAGGGCGGGGCACCAGAAGTTTGTTCTAGACTCTTGTCAGTTTTCAAACTGGAGGGGCTGCAGGATCACCGGGCCGAGCCCTTATCTTTACAGATGAGCAAACTTTCCCCAGAGAGGGACTGCAATGGTCCCACTCCGCTGCCACCCAGCACTGCACCAAGGCTCCAGCACACGGGTGAGGAAAAAAGGATATGGCTAATTTGCCTGGATGCCAGTT